TGCTGGGATGACAGGTGTGTGCCACCATGCCCGGCCGTCTCGATGTGAAATTTTGCTTCTTGTGTCCATCTGCCATGGGAGAAAATCCGCACATGAGAAGATGAATCATTCCCCAGCGGCTGGTGGCTCAGTGGATAAATGCATCCTCTCTGCCCTGGGCAATGTTTCAGGAGCCCTGACGCAGCCCCTTGGGGGGCCCTGGGCAGGCACAGGAGGAGGAGCGGGAGGAGGCAAGACCAGCTCCCTACAAGGCCAACCCTTGCTGTCAGCCCTGAGTCACTCTGGGGACGCAGGGCCTCACTGTACAGATTCCCGTCAGCACCCCCGGGTCCAAGGGGGAGACAGGCCTTTCCTGGCACTCGGTGTCCTTAGCAGCTCTTAAGCCTCTCTTGAACCTGCCGTGTGCCCCGCTTCACTTCTGAGAAAATGGAGAAAGCGGAGAAAGCTAAAATACTCCAAGGACTCCACTTCTAGATAAGCAGTGGGTGTGCAGTTCTTGCCAAACTTGATATACTTCCTGTTTAAAATAATGAGTAGAAGCTGGGTGTGGTGGCGTACGCCTGCAATCCTAGCACTCGGGAGGCTGGGGCAGGAGGAGTGCTGTGAGTTCGAGGCCAGCCTCAGCTACAAAGTGAGCTCAAGGTAGCCTGAACTACATAGCAAGACCTGGTCTCAAACAGGCAAAAAAAAAAAAAAAGAGAGAGGAAGAGCGGCACCTTTGGAGGATGTAGGAAACAAGAATCTTTCTTGTGAGTAAAAATCAGTTTAAGCCCAGCGTGGTGGTGCCTGCCTGTAATCCCAGCACTCGGGAGGCTGAGGCAGGAGGATTGTTGCGAGTTCCAGGCCAGCCTGGGCTACAAAGTGAGCTCGAGTCCAGCCTGAGCTGCATATCAAAACCCTGTCTCAAAAAGACAAAAAAAAAGTAAAAATCAGTTGAGAACATCTGGAAGTCTGCATGTTCCTTTTCTCTGAACTCAAACTCCAATTTTCATATTTGAACCATCAGTATATTAGAAAATTATGAATAACACCCTAAGCCACATTTTAATCACATGTTTTCCTGCAGTTATCAGTCACTGGGGGTCAGGAGCCCAGTGGCTTCTAATGTGGGGGTGGATGTCTGCACAGAAGGAGAAGAGGTCAGAGTCTTCCTGCTTACTCTGTGGCAGCTCTGGTGAAATCGGACTTAGGGCAGAACCACACCAGAGAGCAAGGAACTAATCAGGGAAGAACGTGCTCGAAAGGTCGACAACAAATGAAGCAGCAGGAATCGGAGAACTAATGTTTATTAAGCCTCTTCTTTTCACCAGGATCTTTGATACTTTACATTAAAAAAGTGAAACATTCAACAGTTCTCCATTTTTGTTTTCCTAATAACAGTGCAATACTATAGAATGTCTTCTAAAAATGATGGTATATTAAAAACATCTGTAATTCCAATAAGTCAGAATTTAGATAAAATCCAGGCATTGAAAGATACTTTATAAACTGGGCATGGTAGCACACGCCTGTAATCCCAGCACTCAGGGAGGCTGAGGCAGGAGGATCTCTGAGTTCAAGGCCCACCTGGGCTACAAAGTGAGTTCAAGCCCAGCCTGAACTGCATAGAGAAACCCTGTCTCAAAAAGACCAAAAAAAAAA